CCACTTTGATAAGTCCTTGCATTTAATTACTCAGCAGAGGGTTATACTCCTTTTCACAAGTTTTCCACAAGTTCTCTTCTTGCTGTTTAGTAAAGTTACTTAATTGACTGTTTCAATCACATGGGCAAACTGTTAAGGTGACAATCTTACATGCATGTTGTAGCCAGGTTATTATAAGGTGTCAATTTCTGAAATTGGATGGGTTCAGTTAGTGTACCACTGGATGCAAAAAGGTCCCTGTTGCTGCAGTAGTGGATTTAAGAAAATATAGTTTTCTTTGGAATGTCTCAAGCATTTAACATGCACCATTTTTAAGTGAAATATAGATTTTGTGGATATTCCCTCAACGGCTAGATTGCTGTTCTTTAGATATCATTTATTGAAAGATTTTCTTTCTAAATCTACTGTAATTTTGTCTTTTTAGTGGCCTTGGCAACTTTTAGTTTGACATGTTTGGAGGCATTACTGTATGGTTGCCTAAATGCCCATAGTATGTGAGTGGTGGAATAGCCTGCAGTGTACAACTTACTACTAGTAGTGCACCAGCAACATCCAATATATGTGCCAATTCACTTTGTTTTTGACTTCTCCAATTGCTGTTGATTAGGTTTTATTCACTATATTTTTATTATAGTCTATGCATTGTTAGCCAAAATTATCATAGAGCTGATTGTTCCAGCTTTCTTTACAGTTCCTTGATATCACTTGGATGTATTATGAGCACCATAGGTACAATCATTCTAATGTATACATTTATGGCACAATATACATAAAGATTAAGAAATTTTGGGTCTAAGCAGTTGTTAATGGAAATAATATAGTAAGTCCAGTTCCAGTTCTTGCCTTTTTTATTTTTTATATTTATTTATTTATTTATTATTTTTGCGCCACAGAGATACATGCATGAAAAAGTTCATTTAATATCTTGTTTTTTTCTGTTATTTGGGTCATCAGAAAGTATATTGGGTAAAGAGATAATACATGTAGGTCTTTCATTTTGGAAATGTATGTGCAATATTTTCATGATTTTTTAAAGATCAAATTGATCTGCACAGGTGTGTACATATTGAATTTTCAACAGTGTGATTATTAATATGTCATAGTGTGACATATATATTTCAAAGCAAAATTTATTATATGCATAATGTGTGGAAACATTAAATGTTTTGAATTAAAATTGATTAATGAACAAGTTTTCAGGTTTAAACAATTTCATTTTTGATTTTATTTAACAAAAGTCAGGGTTTCTGAAACACATTTGACCAAGTTACCAACTAAATGTGAGTTATTGAAATAAACTTTAAATTTAAGTACATTGAATATTAAATAGAAAAATGATTTAGTGTGCAAAGCAAACACTTGGTGGGCTCTTAAGGGTTCTTACTTTTAAAAAATAGATGTAGAACTTTTTCTTTAATTAAAAAACAAGCAAATGAAATGCAATTCCTTCAGTTGTACACAGACATTTTTATCAGTTTGATTGGCCAAGTCCACCTTAAATACTTATAAACATCTCTCATATATCCAATGTATACATAAGAGAAAGTAAAGCTAATCACACCACCAACTTCTGTAAAGAAGTCAGTTTGAGTAAAAATATTTGTTAGAGGTGAAGAAACTGGCCTTGTCACACTGACATATTTTTGCAGAACTTCTCAAAATTAATGAAAGGAAAGAAGCAATTACTAATACATATCTTTTGTAGACAAGAATTTGTAGTGATTCTGTATAATTAAGAAGTACACTTTATTGGGTCTGCATGGTTTTTTAGTATCTTTTAAGATAAAAGTTTTAGTCTCCATAAGTTTATATTCCTTTATAGTTTTTATTTATCATCTACATGAAATGAACTAATCAAAATATTTTTATGGAAAACTGTTCTAAAAATTAAGATTGCATGTATACATGTGCGTAATTGCATTTACTGTATCTGCTGCTGTTTACATGTACTGTATATTACATGGGGATCATAGAAATGTACTTAAAATGAATAAATACAAATTTTGACAGTGAATGTTTTCAGTGCATGTTCAGCAAATTCTCTTTCTATCATAACTAATTGGGGTGTTTCAATAACCTGAAGACTCATTTATGGAGTGTTTGCAAAGGTACCTGTTCTCTTGTCTGAAAATTGGCACTTTTAATGGTCACAAAAAGATACAATGTATTAAACAATATATAATTACATATCAGTAATGTACGAGTTAAATTTAGAAATTGGATTTTGAATTTAGTTTTAGAGTGTTATGTTTTTAAAGCAAGATGTGTTTTACTATACAGTATGTCATGCCAATCGACCCAAGTACCCGCAAACGTTTTGACACTAAAATGTAGAACCAATATTAAAATAATGAACATTCCAGCAAAAAACAAAGGTTTACAACTTTCAAATCAATATGGGACTTGCTGTACATAATCAAGCTTTGGACCTACCCGGTCCCTATACCGTTTCACTTAAAACTGTGCTTTGCTACAATTTATAATCATCAATTATGGGATGATTTAGGCTTTTTGTGTTCAACTCGGTCTCTTTAGTGTTATTCGATTGCGTCCGCACACCGCACTCCTACCGCAATCCCACACATTTTAGGTCAAATACAACCAAGATGGCGACAGAGGAAGACAGCGTGGATCAGGAGATCGAAGAAGGGGAAGAGTTAGAGAAAGAAAATAAGGGGAAAAAGGTTGCCAAACACGATTCAGGAGCAGCGGACCTAGAGAAGGTTACAGATTATGTCGAAGAAGCTGAAATTCAGGCTCAACAATTTGCTAATGTGAGTACAAAGACATCACAGCGACCATCACTGGAGAGTGGAGTCTTGACTCTTCTCAAAGTTCTTGAAGTTCTCCAGTCCTGTCTTGATTCAGAATGTTGTCGTTTTTATGAAGCAACTGATTTCATTTTGCATGTAAGCCACACTAAATAGATCTAAATAAATTCAGATTATTATACCCTGCAGTCTTTATTTCCTCAAAGCCTTCGTTAATCACCAAGGGACAGTGTTCATCATCTAAATTTCTTCACACTGCATCAGTACATGGCAACCATGATGGCAATTGGCACTGTCATTATCAACTACACTTTTCCCCTTGATAAGTAATATATGGCAATTGAAAGGGCATGTAACATAGAGACATGCAAAGATGTCTTCCTAGGATACATTTACTGTTTTTTTGTAGGCAATGCAAGTGGTCTCCGACCAGCAAGTCAAAGAGGCAGCAAGGAAGCTGGAGAAGGAAAAAGAACTGTCCAAAGTGAAGATTAACAAAGATGATGTAGATTTAATTGTAAGTGGTGTCA